GGAATAATTAATTCTCTGTAGAACTACAAGCTTATTTCTACAAGCTTATTTGTGCATCGGATCCCAAAGTTACCCAAATAGTCTTTGTCCTTCTTCTGCCAAGGGCAGCAGTGCCACGGCATGGGGAGGGTTTGGACAGCAACCTCTGCCTTCCTCCCTAACTGGGAGACGCTGGAGCGTCTGGGCCTCCCTCTCTCTAGGGACAGCCTGACTGCTCTTTTGGTTCAGGAGGTGGTGGCTTAACAAATCTAGCTTTAAGTGATTTGCCAGCCAGGGTGAAGGAGCAAGAATCCAACAGTTCTGGAGTGGCAAATTGAAAGAACAGCAAATGGCCTGGCTGTTGCTCTCTTGTTCCTCTCAGAGGCCCGAGCTCTGCCCAACTAGGGTCAAACAAAGGGGGTGCTTTCAGCCTTCTGTAAATAGCCTATTGTGCAGGGGAGGAGGTGGGGCAAGGAGTGGCAGTATCTTGCCAGCTTGGCTTGCTGCATTAAGGAAAGATGTCAGGATTTCTTAATTTGCTGCTGCTGGGGCAAGATTGCTATTTATGTGGGTTTATTTGAGGTCTGCTTTCTTAGTGAAATATTCATTCAAACTGCTGTTATTCAGCTTGATGAAAGTTTGAGGAACTTCAGAAGGAGAGAAACGTCCAGAGCACCTGTTTTTTTTGTTGTTTTTTTGAGTTTTTTGTTTTGGGGTGATTTTGTTTTGTTTTGTTTTTTGATTGTTTGTTTTTAGTTTATAAATGACAGGAAGAAAATAAAATGCTAATGTAAGTAAAAGTCTACCAGAATTACAGGAGGGGTGTGTGTGTGTGTGTGTGTGTGTGTGTGTGTGTGTGTGTGTGTCCAAGTGTGTCCATGTGTGTCCATGTGTGTCCTTAGAGAGTGATGCCCTTGTGAGTTACCTCTGGCTCTGAGTCTCTCTTTTCATAATACAAACTCTGTGGCTGGAGGTGAACCTTTGTGTACAGTGGGCTGAATACACATGTGCAGAGGCCAGGGAGACAGGATAAAATGCTGACACTCATGTAAGACATTGGGAGTTTAGGTGGATTTCAGATGTGGATCTCTAGACCATGGAGTGTTCCTACCGGAAGGACCCTGAGAACATGTTCTCACGGTTTCTTAACTGGGGCTGGCTGAAGGGGGCTTGCAAGCCCTGCTTGTGAGGTGATCATGTGGGAGTTCATGGTGGACAGGGTCAGTGGCCCAGCAGAAGTTAGGTATCACTTGTGTAGATTGGTCTTTGGCCTTGGTTTCCTCACCATCTTGTGCTATTGTGATGTTCCAGTAAGGTGCTCCCTCTCTTTCTGCTCATGTCTGTTTAAAGGCGTCCTCTGCTCTGCTTCTTTACACTGGGCTTGTGACAGATTTCCCTGATGATTGTTACGTCCCATGTCATTTTTGTAGTTTTAGACTTTCGTTTTGAATTTCTTCATAGGCAATTCAAAAGACCCAGCTGAGCAAATCCACTTTTTGTAAGTAAGGGGAGAAGGATGCCCAAGAGTAGCTGAAGCAGGAGAAGCTAGCTGTCCGTAGCCTTGTGTGTTCTCAACTGAGAAATACCAGCTTCCTAAGCCTTTAAGCCAGTTGAATCATATTCTTAGCAAATAGCAGCAACATGATTTATATGCCTGCGCTATAAACTTCTTTAGATGACGATATGGAAATTTGCTTTTGAAAGAATTTAAAAAAAAAACTCCAACTAGAACACCATTGAAATGAGAACACAATCCTTCCGTTAGTTTTAACTATTTATTAGCAAGTACGTGAATATTTCTTAGAGACTTGTTAAACCTCAGTCATAAGGCATGGTGTTTATGTTCACATATAGCACATCAGGGCTATTTATTGCCCCTCATTTTCTTTTTCTCAATAGCAGATGAGTTGAAGGGGAAAGATTATGTTGTCCGTTTCATCCATGAGAGTTGTTTTTCACATGGATCAAAATGGGGTATTGTCTTAGTTCTTTATACATAGTTTTCCCATGTACAGTATTAACCAATTTGTTCATTGAAGTTGGTTTGCAGCTTGTTACCTGGCTGCCAGTTGAGTGGAATGGCTTAAAACCTCCAATAGCTTATCATGATCACCCACTAAATGTAGGAATTTGGCTGAATTTAAATGCTTAGCATTACAGATTAGCATCTAATAAAATACTCTTCCATGTGAGCCATTCAGTCTGCAGTTTTCTGAAGATTTTTTAAAAACTTTTTCTTCTCAGACTTATTAAACTTTCTGTTGGTGTAGTGCAGACTGTAGCTTAGATGCTGATGCTTAAAATGGGCAAATTAATCTCCTGTGTATGACTGTCTTTGTGTGGAAGGGAATTGTTTGCTCTTCTCACTCATGGATGGGATTCTATTGAATAGCACCTGTGAATTCACATAATCTAGAATTTGTGGGGAATTACTGAAGAAACTTTGGGGGAAGAAGAGAGAAGGACCTGGGTTTGGGGGGTATAAGGGGTGAATAATTCCTTTTAGATTGAAGGGCTGCAGGGTGATGAAGGCAACTGGGAGGTGGAATGATTTGAGGGCAGGGCAAGTTTGCACATTAGACTCGTAAAGTTGTTGTCTTTGTAGAGTTGCAATACTGTTTGGACAGTTTGCCTGGAAAGACCCTCCCTGATGCCAGGTGGACCTTGCTTGTTTAATTTTGTGTCTCCCCTACTAGATAGCCCATTGAAGGCCACACCCAACCACTGGCACAGTCACCTCCAGTACTCCCAGCCCAGTGCCCCTACAACCTAGGTGCTCAGATGTGCACAGTGATGGGACTAGCACAATTCCTATGAATTCATCTAGAATAAGTCTGTGCTGAGTGAGCTCTTAGCAATCTGTTTCTTTCTGGGTATGTCTCATGTTGGTTAGACCAAGCACCCAACTTCCTATTTCATTCCAGTGGTTTTAAAAAAACATATATGCCCATTGTCTCTTCTTGATGGGAAGCTGAGCAGAAAGAAAACAGTGTCTGTTTGCAGAACTGGTACTGGCAGCAGCACTCACTGATGTCGGTCCCTGCCCATGGGTGGAGCAATGGGGTGACTCTGCTCCCAGCTCCTCATTGGCCCATCCTCTACCCCCTGTTCTCCTGAGAAGTCAAGTATGGATTTTGTCTGCTAGTTACCTTTAGCCCACTGGGCAGCAGTGTATGACTCGGCATGTGACGAGTGCCCTGAAAGACCTTGGCAGGCCGGGCAAGCGCCAGCCGAGTGCCTCCAGCCCCCCCCCCCGCTCCACCCCCAGCCTGCTACCCTTTTCTGTTTCTGCAGTGGTATGTCACCTAGCAGTCAGCTGTTGGTGACACAGATGGTGAGTGGTTTTGTGAGTGCTGGAGCTTTCTCTCCAGAGTTTTGACCTGAAGACATTGGCTTATCTGTTCTTTCTCTCGTCATGTTAAACCTTGACATTCCCTCTGTGTGTGTGTTGTGTGTTTGTGTGTGTGTTGTGTTTGTGTGTGTGTGTGCATGCGCTTACATGCATGCACATCTTATCCAGAGCCATAGTAGCCCAAGCATTATATTGGTTCCTGTGACGTTATTGGTCAGTAAAAGCAGCTTGATATTTTGCTACTCTTTGAAAAAAAATATAAAATAGTATAGATTTGAGTTTGCATAGAAAATTTCTATATTTAAGAGAAGAAAAATCTTTTCAGTCTTGTAACCTAGCTGTTTATGGAAATATATAGTAAGTAGCTCACAAGTACCATCTGAACTTAGAGTGCCAATGTGCACACTTATCGGAATTACCAAAGAAAAGGCTTCCAGCTCATTTACTATTATTTCCTTCCCTTTGCTGCCAATCTTCAGAATAGTTCTTTATCAACAGTTTTCTTACTAGAAATATTCTCATGTATTTATCGGTACTGCACATTTAGTTTTTAGACTATATATAAATTGTCTGTAACATTAAGTTTGAGGCTCTGACATCTATCAAGCTATTCATCTGATTTTCTTCTGTGTGTTTTGACTTCTTAAGTTTGCAAACTGTAGGCAAGCATCGTTTTTTTTTTTTTATCACCTGAGTAACTTACTGTCGTGTCTTCCGGACTAATCACAGACTGTTGGTAGAGGAAATAATAGCAATATCTACCATTTATTGTGCATTTTCTGGGGTATGGCATTATCCTAAACTGTTTATTTGAATCATTTAGTAGTTATGAAAGTCCAATGGGATAGGTACTATTTTCACCTCCATTTATAGATTAAAAAAAAAAAAAACTAAGGTACAGAGAGCTAATGTATTTTGTCCCAAATCATACAGCTAACAAGCTGGAGAGGCCAGATTTAATTCCTAAATATTAATCTATACTTTCTCTCAAAACTATATGATAACCTCTTTCTAGATTTCCAGTGTTTGGTTTAAAGTTTATGGACACCAATTTATTCATTTATTTTAGATATGATGTCCTGGGGAATATAAAAGAAAATGATCTAGTCGGAATAGCCATCTGTGGGTTTCCAGCATTTATATTCCACTTTTGTGGTGGGAAGAGTACCAGCAAGGTCAGAGACAGTTTTGAAATTTGGATTGGTCTGTTTTACCAGTTGAGGAACGTGTTCTGAGGCTGTAGGTGGTTTGGGCTTGTCTGATCTTTGCGTTTGTGTCCCCATTAGCCTTGCTAAAGGGAGTGGAGTGTATTTGATTAGGTGGAAGAAAACAGAGATGTAATATCCCGGAAGAAAGTAGAAACTTGTGGTGCCACTTATTTGAGCATCTTGTGGTAAGAATTCTTTATGAGTAAAATCTTTTTAGTGTGGTTAATAAAAGCAAGATAATGTATTTGTTTTCCTTCTTTCCTTTTTTTTTAAACACAAGATAATGGAGAAAGGGAACAGAAATGAATTCCTAAATTCTTTTTATAAAAATGAAATTTGACAGCCAGGGAACGACCCGGATCATGGGCTATTAGACTGTGGGCTGAATGCCACAGCCTCTGGGGATTCTGGTGAGGCGTCCTTTCTCTCTGTAATGAATGTGACATTTTCCGTTCTGACAGAATTCGACCTAGGGCACCACCAGCACAGGACCATGCAAGCCCACGAATTGTTCCGGTATTTTCGAATGCCAGAGCTGGTTGACATCCGGCAGTACGTGCGCACCCTTCCGACCAACACACTTATGGGCTTTGGAGCGTTTGCAGCCATCACAACTTTCTGGTATGCCACGAGGCCCAAAGCCCTGAAACCACCATGTGACCTCTCCATGCAGTCAGTGGAAGTGCCGGTAAGTCACAGGCCCAGCCTGCCTCCTGGGTTTTCTCTGATTTGCCCTCACTGGTTAAGCCCTTTGAAGGTGATATATCAAAATCACAGTCACATTCCAATATGTGTTTGTGAGGACACTGTGTAAACAGAAATGTGTTCAACAAACAGGGGTTCTTGGTAATAGTAAAAAAAGAAGCCAGCTTTCAGGGCCCAGGGACAGAAGAGATGTTTTTTGTTAGTCGGTCATCTCTCCACAGTCGCAGAAGAGCATTCCAGAGGTCACACTGTGCTTCCAGCCTGGCTTGGGCTCTGTGTAGGCAGAGAGAATTCTATAAGAGTAAAAAGACAGCCTCTGTCCCCAGGGGTATTACATTCCAGCAGGGGAGCCTCAAACCAATGTTCCAGGAAGGAGAATTTCACTTGTGTAACATCTGCTACTGGGAACTCATCCTCAGACTGTAGAAAGGGACACTGGGATGTCACATAGCATAGGGCTAGCATGGGAACTTGTCAGAGTAACAGCTGCTGCAAGAAGAAACATGAGCATTCGAGAGACACCCAAGCTTGAATCATTGAGTGCCACAGTTGTATATGAGCAGGTCAAACTGAAGGTCATGCCCTCCCAGTTGTGAAAATTAAATCAGAACATATGCATTTAGGGGCTAATGGGTGGGAAGGTATAGGGAAAAATCAAGACCCTTTCAGGAAGATTCTTTCTTAGTGCTCCTGCTCTGCCTTCCTTGCCGCCTTCATCTCTTTGTAGGGTTCATTTTAAAAAAAAAAGTGAAAGGTTGAAAGGAAGAAGCAGCCAAGTTCTCAGTGGCACTCTGACCCCTTACCTACTCTTTGCTTTGTGGCCGCTCGCTTTCCTCTCCCTAGGTCAATTTTCAGTGTTTATAACTTTCAACACATAGGCAGAAGGATGTTGTGAAACACAGGATCCCCTCACTTACTGCTTTTAGGTGAATGCCAAGGAGGAGCATATGTATCCTTCTGCAGAGAGCCCTGGCTGGCTTACTAACATTTTGTTATTAGTGAGTATTAGTTTTTAGTTTTAGACAAGTTCTTAGATTCATCCATATGAAATTTTCATCTACCAACCCAACTTACGCCAGATCTATAGAAACATAGAATGAATGAACTACTGTAGAGAAAAGTTGGCTTTATGTTTTATTCCTATTGAGAAGGTGAAGGTAGCTTAATATTTTACCTCTGCTAATTACATATGGATAAGGAGTAGAATTTAACTTTCCCTAAGAGGTTGGCAAGAGGTTTTAAGCATTCATCGGTGGCACTGCCATCACTGTGGCAAGGGTATTGGCAACGACACAGGGTAGACATTTCTAATTTAGCAAGAAGTGTAAGAAATGCCTAATTCTTATTATGTGAGAAGTTGTAAGGGCATTTACAGTGTGGTTTTTAAGTTCTAGCTTAGCATAAAGTCCTTGTGCCTTATTAAAATAATTATACAAGTTCTCTGTAGAATAATTCAAAACTCCAGATAAGCAGAAAGAAAATTAAAATCTATTATTTTACTATCCGGTATACAGACTTCCTGTTTTTTTCTCTGTGGCTATAGAAATAGAGCTCTGATTTTCAGAATTCATAGGTCTTAGGAATAGATATTGAACTTGCTTTGCCTTTCAAAAATGTGTGTGTGTGTGTGTGTGTGTGTGTGTGTGTGTGTGTGTGTGGTGTTTACCAGTTACAGATGCTTTGATATATGTCATATGGATTTCTATGGCAGGGAAGGAAGAGCTTCATTCATTCATAAGGTAGTGGTAAAAATCCTGTTAATCTGGAACTATTTCAGAGACTGACGATCAGAATGAAATGCTGTTGCTTTGTTCCTGCTCTGAGAACCAAGAGCGCCATTTACCAGCCCATTCCCATCTCACCGAGTTTTTATCACTCTCCTCTCCAGTCAGCTTTGCATGCGTATGAAAACAAGAGGAGTCTGCACTTTTGGTTTGGCCGCTTCTCCTCACAGCCCACACTGGCTGTTTCCCAGCTCCACTTTTTTTAAAGCAGCAGCACAGAGAATCTGTGTAAACTACACCTTTTAAATTTCCTCTGAATGAACGCTCAGGGCTGTAAAGAGGACGTCGGCACTCATGCTGTGGATCCATACGGGAAAAGCAGTGAAGACCCACACTGTAGCCTACACAAGGCAGCTCGGCTTAGGACCAAGAGTCCAGAAGCCTTTCTTAAATTTTTGAGCATCGTCTGATTTTTTTGAGCATACCCTGTCCCAAGAGTCCCATGCCTGTGTATTCTGTGGCAGCTCACCAACCCGTAGCAGTGACCTGAAGCCAGACTGTCCCTGCTGGCCAGTGAGGAGCACCATCCTCTGAAGTTTTGTGTTTACTGCTGCTCTGTAACTTTGAGCAGAGGATGGAAGCAGTCTTTGTGGAGTTTATTTGCTTTTAAAACACTTTTATACTCAATGTGCAAGGTTTTCTGTTTATTTCGGTCTAGTTTGCTTGGTCAGATTAAGAGCCATGACCCCCTAGTGAAGATGCTCTTCCCTGGCACACCTGGAAACCTTTTGGCATGGTTAGGGCTCAGACCTAGTGGCTTCACTTAAGGGAAGGATGAGAACATGTTGGAGCCAGAAAGGACTGGGGAGCTAGAGAGCCATGGCAGGGGTGGGCCGTCTCCTCTGCTAGACCAGACAGCCCTGGGCATGTTCCCCTGACTCTCGTGGCCTTCACATCCCTCATCTGGAAAACAGAAGTGATGACTTCTGCCCTCCTTCAGCTACACAGTGTCTGCCTGGCTCACAATAAGTATTCAAGAAATATTAGCTTTCTTCTTCCCTAAAAGTCTTCTCATTTCACACTCACATTTTATACATGAGAAAACTGAACCCAGAGAGATGAAGTTATGCCATAGAATCAGTGGAAGATCTGGGACTCTTTTGGATTGCCTTCACTGTAGCAGTTTGAAAGTTGTGTAATATAAATAACTAGGGCTCAGGCAAGGGAAGATCCGAGAATAACAAAAGTTTAGTTCAGTCCAGGTGAATCTGAAGACGAAATTGGCTGGAGCCATGGAACAGGCCTCTCACTTGTGAAAATGTATAGGTCGGTGCGAAGAACTGCTTGGGACTCCTATCCATGCAGAGAGAGTGAGCCATCCTTGAACTAAGAAATGAGAACAACCTGTTTTCATTTCTTAAAACTGGTCATTCTCGGGTAAGAACTTGAAAGAAGTAAACTAAATATAGTATTACCCTGTGTGTATTGGTTTCAAAATCCAAAGGTTACAGCTCACTGGAGGTTTTCTCAATGCCAAGGCCTGCACAGGCCAACCACAAACCCCTCGACTCAGATGCACACCACAACATGAGTTAGAATTCCTAGTCCACATTGAGAAGATATGTGTGGAGCATATTATGGAGTAGGATTTTTTTTCCCTGTGGCTGGTAGAATCACTTTTTTCCATAAAATCAATTTATACCCAGGTGTAGATGTAAAGAGCCACTTGTAAACTGGCATAAGTCATTTCTTTAAGAGAAGAAAACAGGTCATTGATTCATAAGTGTTCATGAAAACTCACACCAGAGGCTTGTAGAGGTAATGATGATATCAACTAAAAAGGTGATGCCTTCCTGGACTGGAGCATCGGGGACCAGCTCTGAGCTGGAGAGCTCTTGTTGAATTGGGCAGGATCAAATACTACTGTGAGGCAGACATTTAGGGTCAAGCCTGAGGGAGCTGTCAGAGAAGGGCAGATGGATTTGGATGGTGGTATCACTGACTGTCTCTGATGCCATCCTGGAAGTCTGCAGGAGTGTCAAAGCCAGCTATAGGATGGGGCATTAGACTGATGAGTTTGATCCAGGTGGAAGGTAGCATGTGAGTTCCAAGGGAGGTTAGGAACAGTTGTTGCATTGGTTATTTCTGTTGCTGTTTGTAAATGTGACACCATCTATAATATTTCTGTGGTCATTTGTAAATAGAAACCTCATTCTCAACTTTGGGTGGCCTTGGGTCCGAGTAGTTTTTAGATCTATTTTTGATCAGAGGTGCAAATGAGACTGCAGAGGGTTTTCTTGTCTAGTGCTTTGGCTTCTTACTTGGAGTCTTCCTAGTGTCAGTCTTATCTATATCTTAGCATTTACTTAGCATTTGTAACCACAGATTCCCCATGGCTTATTTCTCCCTTGTCTTGATCATGGTGTAATGTTCAAGTGATCAAATAAAGATGTGAGCAAAGATTTAACTACCTAATACTAACCTGGGCAATTCCAAGAGTTCTTGGCCATGTTTTCCTGAAAAGTGTTCAAACATATGAGGGCATTTTCAGTAAGCAATCCTAGCAGTTGGGATGGTGAGGGTGGATGGAGAGTGTTCTTCGAGTGCTGTTTCTGCTCAGAAATATTATTCTGGTAGTGTGCAAACTTCAGCGTTTCATACCTTTAGATAACTTTAGCACCTTTTCTAAAACTTAGCAGGCTTCTTAATAACAAACCATATATATATATTCCTTTCTAAAATACTTTTTTAAACTACACTCATAGGAAACTGAGGTAAGGTGCTTGTAAGATTTTTGTGCGGACTTAGAAACACTCTAGCAAGTGACTAGGGGTTTGATTAGGTGGAGGAAGTATCAGCAAGAGCCGTGGCAGCTGGGTGAGTGCCCTGCAGGTGAGGGGCGGGAATTGAGAGAGTCAGAGGCAGAGTTTCTGTTCTTCATGCCAAGACCAGGCTACTGGGGAATTAAGTAGCTGTCTTAGGAATCTGAGGAAAGAAAGAGGTTGATTGTTATTTTTTAAAGAAGTGTTTGTTTCTGGGTTCCCTTTAGTAGGAAGAAAAAGCTAATGTTCACTGTACAGAAATATGATAAAGCAGGTCTGAAAACACCATGTAATTTTGAAATGATGCCACTTCTCACAGGACTCCTTAAACAAGGAACACATGTACACATAAATCCCAGAAATGCATGCTGTTAATATTTATTTGAGTTTTAAACAGTCTCCCCCAAATGGGGCCAACCGGGGCCAAATAAAAGATG